GCGGCGCACCGGATCACCTTTGAGGCGTCGTCTGGGGCTGACGAGGACGATGACGAGGACGATGACGAGGATTCTGAAGGTGATCTGGAGGGCGAGTTGGAAGGACTTGGCGCAGAGATGGCGGTGGCGGCGGGGGATGGCGCGTCGTGGGTCCTACCCGGCCGCCGGCCCAGTCCCAGCGGCGAGGTACACGGGAGCGACGCCGGCAGCAGCAGCGGCGGCGGAGCTGGGGGTGCGGGCGGGAGCGAGGGCGAGAGCGGCGGCCGCGGCGGCGGCGGCGGCGGCGGCGGCGCTCGCGGTAAGGGCGGGGGCGCCCGTGTCAGCAGCAGCTCTGTTGTGTCCTCGTCGTGCGCATCCACAGCCGGGGCCGCGACCCTGGACTCTGGCGCAGGGACGTGAGAGCACCTGGCGGCTGCCCTACTGGCGGCTGTTGATCGCGGCGGGCCCGCGCCTCGCCACACCGGGCAGCTGCTTGCGCACGGAGCGGTGACACACGCATCCGTGCGTCTGCTCGCAGAGCTGGGCGGTGTATGTTCTTTGTGCAGGGGTCAAGGCCCGGAGCGGAAACGCACCGGTGGGGCTGCATTTGCGTTTGCCAGGCTTTCAAACGCGTTCATGCCTGTCTGCCGGCAAAAGTCTGACATCTGAGCATTTTCGGGGCCAGGGCCCCTTGCTGAGCCCTCCAAGTCCATCGTCGGCGCTCGCCACACCCCCTGCAGCGCCGCGGGGTTTGCGTCGGCGTGTTGCGCGCCGCGGCTGGCTCGCGTGTGGTCCCTTGCTGCGCGCGCGGCCTGCGCAACTCGCTAGTTCCTTTGCGGCATTGCACCCTGCCGCCTCTTGTGTCCCCAGATTCTCACTTGCCGGGCTTGGTAGCTTCACAGTTGGGTGGATGGACGTTGTACGTCATCAGGCAGCTGTTGCATTGGTAAACCTTACAGGCCTTATATTGTGTACAGTAAGCGTCATTCATCGAGAGTGCGCGGCTGTTGAAGCATCGGGCAGCGGGGAAAGCGGAAGAAAGTGACCTGCTTAGTGCTGTGCGTGCTGTGCATATTGAGGAGCCCACCAGAATGTCGTGCGATACAGGCTGACACATGATCATATCTATTCGAAGTTGCATAGCCAATTCTCATACTTCAATTTATGACAGGCCATCAGATCGAGTGTCAGGCTCCTAGATCACCCGCTCAACCCCTGCTTTGGCTGTGCGGGTGATTTATGATCATGGCCTCGGAAGAGGATCTGCGCTTGGCCGTGGAGAAACGGCGGGAACACTTTCGGAGCAACATCGAGTGCGTTGTGAGGCGGGCTGGCCCCTGCTACCTGGGTCCCTCTGCCAGGCGGCGCCTGACATGCGCAATCACGTCATGACGCAGAACTATGACACTCAAGGGGGTGCGGCGGACGCTGGAGGGGGACCTCGGCCTGCCGGCCAAGGCTCTTGACGAGCAGAAGGACGTCGTGACGCGGCTGCTCGATGCGGTGCTGCTGGTGCGCGCGCACCACGGCCGCCGATCGCGCAAATTCGACTGCAATTGCCGGATCAGTGCGCCGAAATGCCTCTGCGACGCATGTTAGAACCGTGCAGCGGCAGGCGCGCATTTTAAATTGCACAGCGGCACGCGTGCAGGCTGGATGTGCCTGCACACGACCGCCGAACTGGGTCCGCCGTGCCGCAGCAGGCGCCTGCGCAATTTCGGGACCGCGCCACCCTGCCATGGCTCTGGGGCCTCAGCACAGCCGCCCTGCCTGCTCCCCGCGGCGGGCCCTCCCCTAGGGCAAGGCGGCCGCGGCACCCAAAAGCGAAGACAAGGAGAATGGAGCGCCAGCCCCCGCGGCCAAGAAGCAGCGGGGCCCCAAGGCGGCCACGGCCCCCAAGCCCAAGAGAAAGGCGAAGGAGGCGGCGCCAAAGAAGCCGCGCGGGCGGAAGCAGGCCGCCGACAGCGACGAGGGAGACGGGGACGACGATCTCGGCGGAGGCAGCGAGGCGGGCAGCAGCGACGACGAGGAGGAGGCACGACCGCGCAAAAAGGGCCGCGGTGGCGGCGGCGGCGGCGCGGTGGCGGCGAGGGCGGCGCCACGCAAGCATGGGGAGGGGGTGGAGCGGCTCAAGGGGATCTGCAGGCGCGCGGGCGTCACTGTGGGCCCCCACGTGTACGTGAAGGTGTGGAGGGGGGTCAAAGGGGGGGGTGGCGCTGCGGTCGGCATGCGTTTTCCACTGTGGGAGCGACCAGGGCCCCACCAGCACCAGCACTAGCCGTGGGCGGGGCAGCTTTCAGCAGCCGCAGCACACCGCCCGCCCCCATGCGGCCGCCCAAGCTCCGCAGCGGCCGCGCAATGCGCCACCCGCCCCAGCCCGCGATCCAGGCAGGCCCCATCTTTCGGCGCGCCGCCGCCGCCCCCCAGGCGCCCCGCCCGCGGTCGCCCCTCGGCCCTCGGCCCTCGTAATCAAACCACCCACCGGCCATGACCTTGATGCTTTGACCGCAGAATAAGGATGACGACTCCCTGTATGCGGCCCTGCGGGACCTGCTGCGCCCCCACGGCCTCGGCCCAGACAGCAACAAACACCAGATCGCGGTGCGCGCGCCCGCATCCACCAAAGACACGCACGTTGCGCCGCGCCCGCGCGGGACAGCCCCGACGGCGGGCGCGCGGGCCCGGTGTCCGCTGCAGGTTGCTGGCCGCCTGGGGCCGACTAGGGCTGCCGCTGCGCGGTCCTCTTGGCACTGCTGGCAGCCCCTGAATACCCCTCAGCGGCCCAACCCTCATCGATGCCTGGGTCCGTTGAGGTGTTGCGCCATCGTCACAAGCCCCTGCCTCTGTCAGCCGCGACCCCAACCCGCCATCAACCCGGGACCCGCGTGCATGACCACCACCACCCCCCCCCCCCAGAGGGTGGCGAACAAGCTGCGGCTGGCAAAGGACCTGGAGGGCATCGACACCAAAAACATAATAGAGGACGAGCCCGGGGCGCGCCCGCGGCGCGCCGCGGCCGCACGCGTCGACTTCCGGTGGGGGGCTGGAGTTGCGCGCAGCGCGGCGGGTCGGGTAGGAGGCGCTGGGGCCCGCGGGGAGCTGGGCGTGGGTTGTTGGGCCGGCTGGGTCAACCGCCCTGCGCCGGTGTGGGGCGGCTTGTGGCGCGAGACAGAGAACCGGGGCGCCTGTGCTCGACCCGCGATTCGCGCATGGGCTGCTGTCCTTCCGCTGCAGGTCGATATACATGAACGGGGAAGGAGACTCTGGCGAAGACAGCGAAGAGGAGGACGAGGAGGGGGGCAGCAGCGACGGCGGCAGCGGCTCGGACGCGGCAAGCGGCAGCGGCAGCGACAGCGAAGGCGGCGGCGGCAGCGGGGAGGAAGACGAGGAGGGCGGCAAAAAGCAGCGGCGCAAGCAGGCCGGCGGCAAGAAGGCAAAGCCCGCGGCCGCCAAGCGCGAGCGGCCGCCGCAGAAGGCAGCGGGGAAGGGGAAGGCGGCGGAGGCGCCGAAGAAGAAGCAGTGGGCGGTGTCAGAGGACGAGGAGGAGGAGGGCGGCAGCAGCGGGAGCGGGAGCGAGCCGGAGGACTCGGCAGGGGATTCGGACGGCAGCCCTGTGCCCGCCAAGCGCAAGCGCGCCGCCGCCCCCCAAAACCCGCGCGCTCAGCCCGGCGGCAGCGGAGCAGCCGGGTCGGGTGGCAAGGCGGGCGCGGCGGGCCGCGGCGGCGCAGCCAACGGCAGCGGGGCGGCGGCGGTAGGGGAGGGCGGCGGCGGCAGCGGTTTAGAGGACGATGGGGTCGGGCTGGGCGATGGCGGCGCCGGCGGCGGCGCCGGTGCGGGCGGCGGGAAGAAGAAGGCGCAGCGGCAGCGGCAGCGGCTGATCAGTGACGACGAGGAGGAGGATGGCGCGGATGAGGACAAAGGGGGCCAGCGGCGGGATGGCGGGCAGGGGGAGGGGGATGATGACGACGATGATGATGGGGCGCCCATAATCAGCCAGGTCAGGGCCAAGCAGGGCGGCGGCGCGGGCGGGGGCAGCAAGCAGCCGGCGGCGCGACGAGGGGCGGGGCCAAATAAGCGGGTGGTGGAGGAGAGCGAGGAGTCGGCTGAGTCGTTGTCGGAAGGTGCGTGGGAGGACGGCGCCGGGAGCTGCGCGTGGGAGGAGAAAGGGCTGCGCATGGGAGGGGCCTGCTGGCTGTGCGTGTGTTTCGTGTGCGTTGTGCAGGTGCCAACATTTGCAGGCAAGCACTCGCTCATGCGTGGGCCACGTATGTGCCACAAGCACTGTTGCAGAAGCACAGGCCGACACACGGTCCATGCACCACTGCACGTGCGCCTGATGTTCGTTCTCTTTCCATCACACCACGTTTGAATCCGTCAGGCGGCGACGACAGCGACGAGGACTTTGAAGGCGGCGGTGACGACAGCGAGTGACATGGCTGCAGGCGGACGCCACGGGCGGCTGCGGCGGCCTGCGGCACCTGACCGGGATGGGGCTGACACATACATGCGTGTCATCGTGTATTGAGCTTGCTGAGTGCATTGCTTCTGACAACCAATCGCGATATTACAAACAATCGCGTGCCACCCATGTAACTATCCTGCCCAACCAGGCCGAGCAAGTGCTTGCAAGTCGGCACATGCGGGGCAGAGGCATGTTGAGGCTGGAATGTTATGGTGCTTTACACCGGTTCAGGCAGTGTATTATCATTGCAAGAGTATAAGGGTCAGAGCACACCCATCTCCGAGAGCACCCCTGAGGGTCAATGGGAGAGTGTCCCTGGAAAGACTGGAAGACAGAGCGTTCAAACGTGAATTGTGCAGCCGCTGCTGTGCGCTGCGTAGCTCATACACTTGTACCACCCTGCCCATTTGATAACGCAAAGCGGCAAAACAAGCTGCTCCCGTGCCCCGTTGCCGATCAGTTGACGATTGACGAGGTTGAGCGGAACACGGGGCACCTCGCGCGGGCCCTCGTTGAGGTCCAATCTACTGGTCTTAAGTTCGATCTGGAATATCTTGATTATGCGAGCTATGGTGGGGCTGGCAGCACTGATGGTGGCCACAGCAATGCTGCTGGCGGCGCCAGGTGTGCAGATTGGGCCGGTTCAACTGGGTTCATGTGCAGCACTGCAGCCCTGAGGCTCCTGTGTGGAAGGTGCAACCCATTCATGCGTGCCCGATGCAGGAGCCGAGGGTTCTGAGTACCGTTATCGGCCGCGCGTTGCCGTCCCTCGAGGCACGTGCGACTTTGAGTGTGGTCAGGTGACCACTTACACACGCCTCGGCTGCGCGCTGCCGGCCGCGACCGAAGCAAGCGCAGCATCAACCCGTGTTAATTCTTGCTGATGCATGTCGACATCGAATTCATGCCCCTCTCCCGGTGGCGAGCACGTGGCATTTGAGCCACGCGCGCCACCCACACTTTAGTGGCCGGCGCTTGCGCCAGCGGGTTGATGGACAACTAGCCGGCGTGGAATTTGTCGAGGCGGCAGAACGTGATCATGGGCACCGCCAGCCCCTGCAGGCACCGTTTCCTGGGGTGGCCCCTTGGATTAGTTGTCCCGCTGGCTCCAAGAGTGTGTTTCAAACACAAGTTGTACCAGAGCAGCCTACTTGGCAGAGCACTGAATTAATGTGGCGTTCGCCCCACCTCGCAACCTGGCCCGACTGCGTGTTCACCGCTCAGACCGAGGACGGCCAGCCCTCCCCGCGCTGCATTGTGTGCGGCGGCATCCGCGAGGCCCAGTCCGGCTGCGATGCCAACCCCTTGTGCAAGGGTGCGTGAGCGGGACGTTGCACTCCTGCTGACGCCGAAAACCCTGGTCGCATCCGAAACAATTCCAGCAGCCACAGCCGCTGTGCCGGCAAGTTGACACTCGCAGGCTCCGCAGTCAGACTCAACCCTCACCCCAGACGCCTTTGAGCCCCATGTTCCTCACTCGAACATCTTTCCGTTGCTGTCTTCCCACCCTAAATCGCAGGCTTCTCCTACAACCACATCGACGACTGCGGGTGAGTGCAGCAGTGATCGTGTGGGTGGGTGCGACCGCGCCGTGGCGCAGCTGCAAGCAACCCCTGGCCGAGCTGCTGGGCGCGCTTGCTGTTGCTGTCGGCAACAGCACCCAGGATCACAACAAGCAGCCCCTCCTGGATGCGCTGCAGGAGGGGTGGGGGCTTGGTGGGTCACCTGCCCTGCAATGCCTGAGGAAGCCGCTTTCTCCTCTTGGCTGCTTCACCCGACCGCTGGCTCACATATTTTATTCCTCTGCTGGCCCCGTGCATCTTGGCTCCCCGTGTTGGTGCTGCCATCGCGCCGCCGCCCGCCTGCTATATTGACGCCTCGCCTTGCGCGTGTCAAACCTCGGACACCTCAGGTACCTCAAGAGCTGCAATACCCCTCTGACGCCCTTTGATGAGGAGGACCACTTCACCCAGGCCCCCGCCCCCACCGCTGCCCCCGTGGCCGCCACCCCCGTCGCGGCCGCTGCTGGCGCGGCAAAAGGCGGCGTCCTGCGCCCCGCGCCCGCTTCCAAGCGGGCGCCCGCGACGCCGCCCTAGCAGCCGAGTGCCCGGAGATGTGCCTGCGGAGCAGCATGGGTGCCGCTGCATGCCTTGGCTGCGGCATTTGTGGATTGTCAGGGGGCTGCACTGCGGCCTGCGTCCAGCGCGCAAGTTGTTTGGGGCCGGGTCTGAGCTGATGTTGCTCGCAAGGCCTACAAACAGTTTCAAATCGTTTGGTGTATCGCAAAGGCTGTCTGTAAAAGGCTGCCTAAAAGCGGGATGTCGACCAAAAGTTGCTGGCAGTTGTCTGCTGTCAAGCCCTCACGACATGGACCCTGATTACTGCTGCGCACAGATCAGCTGTAGGAACCGTGCACAAGCCTGCAACTGGATGCGTTTTTTTGTCGCAGCTTGCCATGTGACACGTCATCCTAGTGCACAGCGCTGACCCACGTGTAAGCTGTCTTGAGCCTCCACATATATGCCGCCCGCATGTTACGCGGCGCATCAAGTCAATGCATTTATTCCGCTTCAGCCCTCCGCAGTGTTAAGCAGTGACGTGGCAGCGGGCATGAAGCGTCATCTATGCTTCCAACTAGGCCGCCTCTTGCGCCCTTAGGCAATTACCACGGTGTGCGACCCCTCAAACGCAACGCACTCTCTGCCTCCTCATACGCAAGCCGCATCTGTTCCTGCTCATACGCAAGCCGCATCTGTTCCTGCACCCGCAGCCGGCCCATGCTACAGCTGCCCGCCAGGCACAGCCGTCCCAGCCCCGGGCGCCCCCTCCGCCGGCCGCGCCGCGCCTTCGCCCCCCTTCGCCGCCCAGAATGGATCCTGATCAGCCGGCGCCTCGACGCGCGCCGCCTGCTCAGCGTGCTGCGGCGCTGCGCCGACGGCCGCAGCCACCGCGGCGACAGCCGGACCGCCGGCAGGGCTGACGGCCGCAGCCTCCGGCTCCTTCCTCACGCCCTGCTCCGCCTGAGAGGGCGTTCCTGCGACCTCTCCCACCTTGAACCCCTCCCTGAGCTCTGGCCCCGCTGGCGCGCCGCCAGATCGTGTCGGTGGTTGCTGCGGCCCCTGTAACTCCCTCTGGTGGGCCTGCTCCTCCTGCGGCCAGGATTCTGGCCCCGCTGGTGCCCCAAGCTGGCCGGTTGCAAGCCGAGCAGTGGCCTGCGATGGCAGGCAAGCGGGGTAGCGGCAAGGGAGCATTGCGCGCAACTAGGTGCCAAGATCACCTCACGGCAAACCCACTGGACGACCTGCAAGCCCTGCACACGATCGCGGGCTGGGTTGGCGCCAGGCCTGTTGCTTGCCACCGATGTGCCGGGCCAGTAGTGATGAGTCAGCTCAAACACCCCGTAGCAGGAGAGCAGTACTGTGTGACCAACAACTCGCACACTATGCAAAGGCTCCTGCGCGCAAGGTGGTTGCTGCCGTGCTGTCAGCTCTCCGCACCTGGTCAGCCCCGGCCTGCCAGTCCTGCAGGGTGAATGGGTAGTAGGCCGCCTGGCCGGGGGCAAGCCGCTCCAGGTAGGGGCACCCTGCAAGGGGTGCCGCCTTGGAGGCCTGCGTTACGGGCAGGGGGGTGCTGAGGCCCCCTCGCGCAGGCGCAGACTTGAGAGCAGCTCAAGCAGCAGCGATGTGTGAGCCTGACGATGCACGCATAGTCTGTTTCCGCATGGGCAGTTGAAAAGCATCCCGCAATACAGGACCAACAGCGCTCGCGCTGACGCCATCCTGCCCAGCCGTCGCCGAGTTGCTGCCACCTGACCGGCTGCCCACCTGCATTGCAGCTGACGATGTTTTGCGCACTGCAGCTGTGGGAAACAGTCGAATATCAGATCGTGGGCAGTGCTGTCAACAAGTAGTTGCGGGCCTGCCTGCATGGCACTTTGTGAAGTGTTGCACCACTACGCCCCGCTGCTGCAGCAGCAGTCCACGAAGGGGACCAGGGCGATACTCAAGCGTATCATGCATCATATTTCGACCAGAGACTTGGATTCTCACCTCTCCTGAAAGCGGCACTGGAACCTCGATTTCAACGCTGATTGAAAACAGCGAGGATCGCCTCGTTTCGGCCAGACTGGTGCTGCCCGTGTGCTGGACATACATAAGATACGAGGATGATATGCGGGCGTCCTCCTCTGACCCGAAATTGCTCGGTGGCCACCGCTGACCCAAGCTTATGACGTGGTGATGTCGTGAGGGGGGCCCGAGACGTTGCACCCTTGCTGTCCATTTGATCAATTATCCCGTCCAAACAATAGAACCGAACTATGCCACGCAATCCGTTGCTGAGACAGCTCGTGTGCTGCAATGTGTATGCGGAGTGCGCTCCCGCGCGCTGCCCCTTGTTTCGTGTGCAAAGGCAACTCTGGGCAACTTTACCTGTTAGGTGACATGTATGGTGTACTTGAGCCTGAATTTACTACGCTTGTGGGAATGTGTGATTGTCGTGCATCTGGGTTGCCGCCCCTGGCGGCCACGAACAAAAAGAGAAGTATGACGACAGGCCTGGCGCGGGTGGGGCAACAACGCGAGGCACCACACCAGACACGAGGGTTGCACCACCAACATTGTGCTTGAAAGAATTGAGAGGACGACGAAAAATCACTGCAAGAACCTCCTCATCAAACACCCAAAAGCCTGCCTCTAGGAGGACCTGCCGTGCCGACAGAGGCGGTGTGCAATTCAGGGGGCCGTGCGAGAGCGCGAGCTGCGAGGGTGCAAGCGAGAGTTGCTGTACCGCCCCCACAAAGTCACAACATGCAATTGCATCACGCCCGCCACCACGCACGCGCCGCGTGCGCAAAACTGCCACTGGTTTGCCGCTGCCCGCGCGCCGCCAGCCGCCGCGTCCTGCCCCGAGCACACCGCGCCGCCGCGACACGCGGCACGCACGCCTTGCCGCGCGCCTACTCGTTCAGGCGCGCCTCCTTTGCGTGCCGCCCCAACAAGCTCGCCACCCCGGCCCGCAGCCACCCCTTGCGGTACGCGTACACGGCCGCCGCCGCCGCCGCCGCGCCAACCACGAGCAGCACCTCGGCGCGAACCACCGGGTCGCGGGCGCCCGCCATCAATATGTTCTCAAAGCCGCCCCCGGGCCGCGAATGGAAGGCCGCGTGCACCTCTGCCAACTTCTCCTGGTCCTCAAGAGCGTCCCCCGCGTCGCCCTTGCCGTGCGTCTGTCGCTGCTGCTGCCGCCCGTCACCCGCCAGCATGACGACCGCCGTCTTGCCGGCCCCCGCGCCGCCGCCGCCAGCGCCGCCGGCGGAGTGTTTGAGGGGTGCGTCGAACTGCAGCCCGAGCCCGGCCGCGCGCACGCAGTCGGACAGCCGCGACGCGTCCCGCAGCAGCTTGCAGCGCGCGACGAGCTCGGAGTAGCGCTTGCTGCTTTTTGGGTGGCGGGCCGCCAGCTCAGCATTGGTCGCCGCGGCGGCCTTCGACGCCGGCGGCCCCTTGCCGGGGCCGCCCGCCGCCGCGCCCTTCGCGGCCGCCTGCTGCCCTTCGTGCGGCTTCGGCGTCGGCTGCTGCTGCGGGTTTGCGTCCTCCTCGCCCACCACGTCCGCCTGCTGCTGCTGCTGCTGCTGCTGCTGCTTGCCGTCTTTGGCGGCCGCTGCGCCTGCCTCCTTCCCTGCCGCCGCAGCACCCTCCCCGTCCGCGCCCTTCGACGCCGCCTCCCCCGCGCCCGCCTCCGCCTTGCCGCCGCCCTCCCCGGTCCCCTGCCCCCCGGGCGCCGCCTTGGCCGACGGCGCCGGGGCCTTGGCGGGCTGCGCCTGCCCGCCGCCCGCGCCCCCGCCCGCCGCCTCGGCGGCCTTCTTTTCGCGCTCTGCAATCGTCACGTATTTGAATTTGGCGCTGCAGAGCCCGCACGCGGGGCGGCAGTGCTCCTTCATGTACGACTCCATTTTGGTGCACTCGCCTCGCTTGGCCCACATATCGCATTCAGTCTGCGGCGGGCGGGTGCAGGGGAGAGCGCACGTTTGTGGGTCGTGTCGGGGGTGAGGGGAGGCGTGCGTGTGTTGAGGGGTGGGTGGTACATGCGTGTGTGTGTGGAAGAGGGGCGTGTGTTTTTGTGTGCGTGTGTGCACGCGACTGCGTATGTGCGTGGAGGTGTGGGCGTGCGGGCGCGCCCGCACGGTGCTATGGGAGCGCCCGCAGTCGCGCAAGACCAGGAGCTCAGCAGGCTGCGTTGCGGCGTCGGGCCGGGTCGGCCGGCGCGACGCCACCCAACCACCCAGCACGCACCCGCCCCCGCGCGACCGCCAGCACAACCCACGCCCGCGCTCGACGCCGCCGGCAGGGGCCCAACAAGCACGAGTCATGTGCGCATTCCGCCCCCAGGGCCCCCGCCTCACATTGTGGTCGACGCAGTCCCAGATCGCCTCAATGGAGTGCAGGGCCTTCTTCACATCAGCATAGTGATTCGTAGCCTTCGGAAGGCGGAGAGGCAGGGAGGGGATGCGACGACGGCGCAGGGAGGTGAGCAGCCAGCACCGGGGGCACGAGGGGCGCGTGCGCCGGCTTGGGAGGGCTTCCCATGGAAGGCGCGCGGGCGGGCAACCCATGCGCCGCGGCCGGAAGCTCGCTCGCCCGCTTGCTGCCCGGCTTGACGGCCGGAGGTCCAGGCTGCCGCACCACCAGGGCTGATCTCACGCCGCGGCTGCTCAGAGCCTGGGACCCCCCCACCCCACCCTGGAACCCCCCCTGCTCCCCCACCGTGTTGCAGACCTTCCCC